ATTCTTTTTCTGCCCCATTCTCTTTTCTCTTATCCAATTGCCAAAATTTCCCTCCTACCTTTTATTCCTTAATTCTGAAACTTCCAGCCTCCTGCAGCATTTCATCTTTTCAGTCCTTTTCCATCCTTTTTAGACATCATTACTGCTTTTCAGATATCAGTGCTTTTCAGGTCTTGAATAAGGTGGCACATAAATTCTAGGTATAAACTGGAAAGTAAATGTGATGTCCAATTTTGATGGATCTTCTACTCTTTCCCCTGTTTAGAAGTATTTTCTGTAACTTCTTTACTTCTTTGAATATGTCGTGATTTACTGATGACTAATACTGAAAGGGAAGGTTTCTTCACTTTCTCTGAATGAAGAGGTAAAAATGGAGGCAGTCTCTTTTACACTAAGGTGTACAGTAAGGTTGTTTTCATGAAAAACATGAAAACTATGCAAAGCACTGTAAAACCTAATAATCATTTCAAGAGGGGTTATTTTAAAGAAGAGAGTTCAAAAGAGTAGCTCCGGTTTAAACAGCTCTCCTATTCTCTTCTTTCTTCGTAACACTTCACTGGATACTTGGGATGAGGAGTGCCCATTTCCTGACAGGATTATTCTTCAAAACTTTAGTTGTTGTTTTCAGGAATATACTTTTCATGGCAAGTACTGAAATTTCCAGCTGGGGGTTCTCTTGCCAGATGTGATTCTTGTTTAGCATTGCAACTTTAGTAGTTATCCTTGGTCACTCCTTAAGCCTTAACTGCTTCTCGAGTAAAACACTGCCCTAGATGGACAAGCAAAAGCAAGAGCCAAGCTGACTTTCTTTGCTGCTCCTCTGTCCCTCTCCTGGTCTAAAAGCACTATTGATGGCATGAGAAGTTCTGCTGTGAGAGGGTTAATGTGAATCCCCACAGTCTCAACAAATTAACACAGTTTCCCTAACATAAGAATCATAAATGCCCTGGACATGTTCTCATACACAAGTGGACGAGAATTCTTCGGTACATCTCAAATTAAGAATGGCAACACTTCAGCTGATGGCAGCAGCCCTTCTTTAAGTTCCTGTTTTTAAAAGTGACATAAATGTCTGCCACGAAGGGTAACTGCTAGTAACAAAAAAAAGAAGGTTGCCTCTCTTACCATCTCTTGGGAGATGATGGTAAGAAAGCAGGCTATATTATTTGCTGGTATTTTCCTTTAATGTTTGCGGTTCGTAAGACTTGTATATTCTAATATACCAGTGTGCAGAAATTACTCACTGAAAGCCAGCTTAAAATTCTGTCTCCTAGTGAAAGTTTTTCAGTAATTCCCATTTTCAAACATGTTTTCAAAAATCAACACACTAGGGTAACTAAGTAACTAAGAAACAACTAAGCTCTTTTACCTCTTTTCATTTGCACTACAAGCCTTTAAATATACTCAACAAGCATGCCATTTTGCAAGTACCTTATTTTCTTTCCACAGAATGTCAAAAGCACTGCAGGCAGTGCAGCTATGGAATATAATTGATATGGATGTTCTCCTGAGACTGTTTTTGTTGTTACATTTCAAGAGAAAGGCTCTTGAGATTTTATATGAAAAACAAATACATATGCCTTTTGCAATTTGTTGTAGCTGAAAATAAAATATTTTTCTACTAAAATGTTAGTATGTTTCCTGGAATCACTGAGCATTCAATAACATTTTTAGTTAATATTCTGCAGCTTCCTGTGGTATTCACCACAGCTAACTTGAGCTCAGGGAGTTCAATTTCAGTTATTTGTAGGGAGGACTCTCTGGGTGTGCCCTGCAGTCATCAGGGATGTCAAGAAGGGATGTCCAGACCATAGCTCAAGGAGCACAGAGCAGGGTCCCACCCTGAATTGTACCTGCTACAGCTTTTCTCTGTTGGGTACCAGAAGTACTGCAAAACAGGGTTCCTCCGAGCGGAGATAACCTTTAGGAAACTCAGACTCATATTTTATTTCATTATCCATCCTTTTCCTTCACTGGCTAGTAGCTTGATGAAAACCTACTGTTGGAAGTCCTGCTTCCCACTGCTTCATGTGATGTTTGGAAGCTGTGTGTGCTGATTAGGGCATTTATTTTTCTACTGCAAAAATACATATCTCTTTGTGTCAAGGGGGTTAAAACATAAAGCAACCTAATGAGAATAAACATCCTGTATCACCTTTTGCCTTTTTAGAGTTAGTTAGTGGGTGGCAAGGAGAAGATGCTCCAATTAAAAGTCAAAGTTTTTAAATAGACTGGTTCTGATTTTGTGCTCCATTACACACTTTTTCACACACTTTGTTCGAACTCCACAGAGCCTCTTGGTCACTTCCTTGTTAGCTGATAACAAGTAATAAGAATGTAAAGGGCATGTTGCATCAGGTTTGTGTAACAGACAGTAGCTCAGTATTTGGTTTGGTGATTTTTTAGTTATGTGTGTGGAATAATTTGGTGGAGGAGGTTAACTGTTTTCAATGTAACTATTAACTCTTAGAGTTTTGAAACAGTAATTACACATTAAAGATAATAGCTATGTCAGCAGTTAGTGGTAGCATTGGAGGTAACCTTACTGTTAGCAATATTTACAACAGGAAATAACTGTTTGTCTTTATTTGTCAGTAAACATTGACTTTTAAATGAAGGAGTAAGTATTGATTTCTGTGGGTTCAAGAAATACTTTAATGTTTATTTTCCCCTGTGTTTCTGAATGAGGTAAAGTTGAACCTGATGAAGTAGGTGCTCCAGGATTAGATTTATTATTTGGGTCTGTAAAAATTCTTGAAAATGTGTTTCTTACCAAACCGATTTCAGCTCTCCATTTTACTAATTGTGGAAGGAAGTTTTCATTATTGGAAAAATAAGGAGACTTACCCTCACTGTTTCAGAGAAGCGCTCTGAAAATGAAGAAGTGGGATGCTCATCAGAGGTAGGAGGTGTAATCAGACTGAATCTCCACACAGACTTCTAGGGGTTGTTTTGCAGTCAGTATCTGCAAAATAAACTGCAGGATTCAGTTTGCAAACACTGTTGCAAATCAAACCCTGCAAGGTTTGCAGGGCTCCAGTTACTATTATTGCTCTTAGTAAGGCTTATTATCCTGTCACAGAACTGTAAGAAAATCCATCTCTCCACTTTAAACATGATAAGCCTTTGTCACCTACAATGCAATTAATGTTAAAAATAGCAGAGAGTCTGTGATAAGATTGTGACTTGCAGGCAACGAGCCATTGTCCAATGCTGGAGACTTATCCAGAGGGGCAGCCAGCCTGCAAAGCTCTGTCAGCTTGCTGATTGCCGTTTCTCTCAGAGTTGGATGAAATATTCATGTCTTTGCTCTGCTCTCTGCAAGCACTATTGATTTCTTGTATAAACGCAGCTATATTTAGTCTAGACAAATGGAATGTGGATTGCTGCTGAATAAGTGGGATGAAAGGCAGGGCTTTTGCCTGTCCATTTCTCTTGGTCTGAGGCAATTATTTATAATCAAGAGCAGTTTTTGTAAGTTAAAGGTGATTTTTTATAATTTAGCGATTAATCTCAGAACAAAAGCAAGCACTTACACACAATCATTCTGTTGGGATAGCGGGTTAAGGAGGCAAATTATGCTCTGAGGTTTATAATAACAGTTACTAGGATTTAAAAAAAAATAAATGCAAAAACAAACACAGGAAATGTTATGTTTGCAGAATGTTGACAAGAAAAGAAAGAAAATAATGTGGTCAGTGAAACAGATTCAGTGCCTCACTTTTTTTTTTTTTTTTTTTCTTTTCACTTTTTTTTTTAAATATCTGTTGTATATTTTGTGCTGGTAGATGTTATGGTGCAAATAGAATTCAGTTCTGTCCATCTACAATTTTCTCTGCAGCTCTACTGTTCCTATTTGCTAGACTTTTTCACCATCTCATTTTGGTTTTCTCCTTGGAAGTAAATACAGTTTCAACAGGAATAAAAGTAGAAAATACATATACAGCATATTCCCTGTTTGTTTCCTGAAAGCATGCTTGTTTTCAGTTAATAATCTTATTTTTCTAATATAATAGTAGGAATTCGTTAACGTGTTTGTATTCCACTGTCCTCTAGTGGGTGGAATCAGAACTGCTAAGTGCAATCACAGGCCCTGTGCTATTTTCCTGTTGTAAAAATGATATTAGTTAGTTTTTATTCTATTTCAACAGGTAGAGTTATGTTCTGTCTTGTCATTTAATACAAAAAGCTGGACTTTAGAAGTACCATGGTGAAAATCATCAGGTCTCTCTTTTTTGTTCTGCTTTTTAGTCCCTTCTATTTAAATCAGGAGATGAAAAACTACAAGATTCTGCAGTAACTACTTTAATACTAGATTATAAGTATATACCATTATGGCAGCAAATTGAAATAATGTGTTTTGATTTTCTTGAAAGTTATACAGAGGGTATTAGGCCTAATCCATTCCAAAGACAGTGGTCACTTTTTGATGAAGCTTTATCGTAACTTCTCATCTTGTATGTCTAATTATTTTCCTATTTCATGTGACTCATTCTTGTGTATTTGCTACAAAGCCAGATATATGCAATAGCTATTTATGCATAACACAATCCTTGGATAATCTACGTCCTAGCTTTCACTTTTTAGTGAAATCTCTTGCAACCCAGTGAGAACTACTGCCTTCATCTCACTTGAAGAAGTGCCTCAAGTGTTTGTGGTTAAGCTGTCATAGTACCTATGAGGTTCTCAATAAATACTGCTCCCTAAGGCTGTGACATGATTTTAGACCTCGATTGCTTGTTAATCTATTTAGCAGAATATTAATCTGGAAATATTTTTGCAGAGAACAGAAACAGAATAATAAAATAATTTGGAAAACCTCAGGTTGCTAGTAGGAATATCAGAAGATTGCATACAGTATAGTTTGCATTCTTGTTGGCTCTGTAAACTGAGGGAGTCTATGAGTGAAACTGTCTTTTTTTCATCAGTAAGAGTCATCTCTATTCTATTTCTCTGATTATATTTAAATGTAGATATGTTTTGTTGTTTTCTTTTCTCAGTGGATGTGAAGTCAGAGGTTCCTGTGGGATTAGAGCCTATCTCACCATTAGACTTACGAACTGATCTCAGGATGATGGTTCCCATGGTGGACCCAATTATGCGTGAAAAGCAGCTACAGCAGGAGCTACTTCTGATCCAGCAGCAGCAGCAAATTCAGAAACAACTGCTGATTGCAGAGTTTCAGAAACAGCATGAAAACCTGACCCGCCAGCACCAGGCCCAGCTCCAGGAGCACATAAAGGTAGCAACATTTCTCATTTATCCTTCGGTTTATTGCAAACCGTGTATGTTTAGGCAGACATGAAAAGAGAGTGTTCATGAAAGATTTGCTGTGTCTGAGAGATGGACAGTGAGTGCTTACTCCTATGTGTCTGGGTGATATAAGCCTTTTCAAGAAAAAAACATTACCACCAAGTTGTACCTAGCAAACCAAGGTCGTATTATTAGACTCCCCAAGCTCATGAAGCTGCTAAATGCACTGAAAGTCAAAATACCAATTTCACAGTGTTATTTTTTCAGCCAGAATACAATATGGCTGTCTTCTCTGTGTGCACAATTCTCAGTATATGAAAAGACTTATTTATTTGGCTGCAATCTGAATTTGTGCCCACAAATCAGTGGACATGTATGTAATATTTGCATTTTAAACGAAGCTAGGGCCTACAAATATTTTCACTCTTCTGTGATCTGCCTCACATGACATTTAAACAAACAAACAAATAAATACATGTATGGGGTTGCATATGTTATGGTAGGATTGCTCTAATGGATTTTGACTGGGAATTTATGTTCTTCCATTTAATTTTAATTTTTCTTTCTGATCTACTTGTCATTATACTACTTTGCAAAGCTTCTGCTAGCTGAAGCTGACAAATGCAACTGAGTACACCAGCCACGGTTTGGTAATACTTTGGCAAAGACTATTATGCAGTATTCATGCATTTTTGGCAAAACAGAAAGAAAAGAAAGCACAGCAGTCAGCTGCTACTTGATGTTAGAGTTCATTTTAGTGACAGCTGGTGATGCACTGTGCTGATAAAAAGTCTGGGGAAAGGCAGTTAAGAGATAAAAATAAGAGTAAGCACAAAAAAAAAGCACTAGTGCTCTGTTATTCAAGGGAGTTGTTTTGACCAGGACTGACCTACAAAACACTGCAAGCTGCACATTCTCATGTCTTTTTGTTTTGTGCAAGTTACAACAGGAACTCCTAGCCATTAAACAGCAGCAAGAACTTCTCGAAAAAGAGCAGAAACTGGAGCAACAGAGACAAGAGCAGGAACTGGAGAGGCATCGCAGGGAACAGCAGCTTCCTCCCCTCAGAGGCAAAGAAAGAGTCCGAGAAAGTAAGTGCTAATGTACCCTGAATTCAAATACAAAATTAATATATTCCCCTTTATCTTCTCGCAGCTGAAGAGACCTGAAGCAAGTCTGTGACAGTTGAAGCTGTGCTTGCAGAAAGGCAGAACCACCTGTTGCACAAAACAACTCTGCTGTTTTGTGTGCAGATTTGGAGAACTGCAGGAAAGCATATTCTGACAGACTTGTAGATACGTGTCTCTTTTTATGAAATGGGAGGGAGTTTGAAAGCTGAATCTTCACTTGAATTTCTCTTTGAAAAGCTTATTTCCTAATACAGATATCACTACCAACCAGCAATCTATGTTAATAGTGAGGTTATTTGAGCATTTTTTCAAGACTGAAAATATTATGAAGTGTTTTTGAGTATCTTCACCTGAGACATCTAAATACTTTTTTCTTAGTTACAAAGACAGTACTTGAAACTGCCTTATATTTCTTCAGATACCTTTTCATGAGACCCAACAGGAAGTTATTTCTAGCTCATATGTAGCTCTGAGATAAATGACAAAAGATACTGTTGGAATTTGATGCTCACTAGAGGGAGACAGATACAAATAATTCACTTCAGTCAGGTCAGCTTAAAAGTCAGGTCATGAAGATACATTGTGAAGGTATTTAAAATGAAACTGCCACATGTAGATATTGGTATCTGCCCTTCTAATTGAGCAAGATTCTAACTAAATAAAGACCAAACAAGAAAAGAGTTGTACATAGTACTTATGGGAAACATATACTCTTGCTTTTTTTTCTTGGAAAACTGTATCAGTTCGATAGTTTACCATACTGTAGACTTTATAAGTTAGTGTCCATAGGGCTTCCTTTAGTTTGGTAAACATTGAATCATAAAAGCATCATATTGCTGTGATGATGTTAGTTTTACATTCTTTGGGGGAAACTGAGGAATACCTCCATTTCTTTGTCTATGGAATTCCTTTGTCTATGTTTTCTGGTAGTGCATTAACAGTCTGAGGTTGTTCCTTTAACCTTTTCATCCTAATCTAGATGGCTTACTTGCTCTCTGTAACATTAATAAATTATTTAAACCACCCAGAAGGAGAAGGGTAACAGAAACTCCAACCAAAAAAGGATCCTATAAGGGATATGAAAATCAGCATTCATATAAACAGTTTGACTTTATTCTCACACCAAAGATGAGCAGCTCAATGGTGCCTTTCTCCATTTGGCTTGCTCGTTACACTGCACCTAGCCAAGCAGCACTTATGACCCCTAGCCCTAGCATATGCTGCTACTGATCTGCTTAATGAGTAAAGGAGGGAAGGAAAGTACTAAGGGTGCCGTTAGGATCTGAAGCTGAGGGGTAATAGAAGTGCTTTATGGGAATCAGGTCACAGGGAGACGTGCTCACTGGCTAACTATGCTGTTGGGTAACCAAATACTTAGAGTATCAGTATTCCTGAGTACGGCTACTTTGAGAGAATCACTTCTCTTCCTTCTCTTTTTTATCACTGTTTGGGGAAAACGGAAAGATTTTTTTTTTCTTTTGTGTTCTATTTACAAAGAATATTATGGCTATGAGTAAGAAAGCATTCCCCATGTTGGAAGAGGGAATCAGTTTACTTGACATTGACATGCACTGCCCTACCATCAATTTACAGAAAGTGCAAACATTCTTCACTGCTACTTCAAAATGACCTTTTGTTACTTGCTTTTTAGTTTTTTCATTGTTTTTGGATTTGGGTATTATTAGGAAATGATTTAAATTCTTTGGATATATCTGGCTCTGGATAAATGGCCTCATCTACTGATGTAATATTCCTCATGACTTCATTGATTTTCTGGTTTGTGGCTAACTTTAGTCTTCTACAAGCAAACAATCCAAACGATATCTCCTTTTGACTGATTTCCACCAATGCTTTTTATAGTTTACAACTCTCTCAGCAGTAAGGACATAGATTGTTTTTTTCCTGTTTTGTTGTTGTTGTTGTTGTTTTGTTTTGTTTTGTTTTTTGTTTTCTTTAAAATAAAAATAAAATAAATAAAGATTAGATGTGTTTGATTTTTTTTTTTTTTTTTTTTTTTTTTTTTGTCTTAGGGGCAGTAGCCAGTACAGAAGTGAAGCAAAAACTTCAGGAGTTCCTGTTAAGTAAATCAGCAACAAAAGACTCTCCAGCAAATGGAAAGAATCATTCCGTGAGCCGCCACCCCAAGCTCTGGTACACGTATGTTCAGTGTTCAGCTGTTTCCTTTCCTTATCGAGGTAGCTCCTAACAGTAGACAGAATGCTTCTTCAGTGGAGATGTTGGGAGTCTAACTCCAGAACAAGATGGAAGAACAAGCAAGAAGTTAGCAAAAATATATATATATGATATATATGTGTAATATATCTAGCTGAGCTGAAGAGTACTTGGTAGACAGTAATGACATGAGAGGTATACAGATCAGAATGGTGTCTGAAATTTATATAAACCTTTTATTTCAACTGCTTAATCTCTTGATGCCATCACAAATTTTCCAACTACACTTGCCATTTTTCCAAGTCTCTTCAGTTTTTACACTTAGAACAATTTGTGCTTGACTTACTCAGATTTTGAATCAATCACAGCTTGTTTCTTCTTGAAGAGATCCTCTTTTCCAGTGAAGTTATTTATATCCTGTAAGTAAATCACAAATATAATGGATCTTTTAACTTTTTTTACTCTGATAGAGTAAGAAACCTCTGATTCAAAACAACATTGTGATGATGGCTTGACACTGATAAGAATATGCTTAGGCACTGAGACAAGTGATTTTTTCAGATTCTGTTATGGATATATTACTGTTCCAAGAGCTTACAGTGATTACTCCCCCTTTTTTTTTTCTTTATTTTTAACTAATTAATATATTTTTAACCTCTTTATTACAACAGACACGTTTTTAAAAGTCAATTAAAAAAAAAAAAAAAAGAAGAAGAAGAAAAGAACTTCGGATGCATTTCTAAAAGAATTTCAATATTATCCCCAAACTAATCTTTACAGGTCAGACAAACAGGAATGCATATGGTACACTAGATTTTAACCTAGTACTTGTCCTTTTTAAAAAGCATTACTGAAGCACTTTCATCTAAGCTTCTCCTTTAGCTAATCAGAGCACTGTGATAACATGATTTAATACACAATTACATTGTTTCTTCTAGAAGTAAATAATTTCCAAATGATGTGTAAAATTCTCTTGAGTACGCATGAGTTATGAACTAATGGTCTGAACTTATTCTGGTCTTCAGATGTATGAGAATTATGCGTTCTACAGGGAGATGTCTTCTGCTACATGAGGGAAACTTTCATGTTAGTGCTTCTCTTTGACAAAAAACATAGCATCACACGATTAAACATTTAAAAGAAAGGGTGAGGCTCTGTAAGTAAAATGATGTTCAGACAAGCACAAAGTACAAAAGTTTCTGTCTTTTCCCCTCTCCTCCTTTAAACAAAAATATCAACCAAACAAAAAAAAACCTGTCATTGAGCCAAACGATGCAATTGCTTTGCAATGTACTATTTACATGTTCAGAAAAATCTGCCCATACTCTTTCCTTCATTCAGCATTTGTCAGAAAGTGCTCTTCAGTTTAGAACTCCTCTGCTGACGTGTTATGTTCTGCAGAGTTGTATGCCCAGAAAACTTATAAAATGAACTTGAATGCAAGTTTTAACTTCCCTGTCTAAATGGTTTACATTTTTTTCAAGAGATAGTAATATCTCAATATTTTTGATTCATTTCATATAACACCTCCACCATCCCACCCCACAGAAGTCCCCCTGTCTTTTTGTTGGAAAAGACTGGATCAATGTATATCTATTTGTACGTAATAAACAGGATTTTAAATGGCTTTTGCTGTGCCTCAGCTGGTTCACATTAAAATACAACAATCTGAAATGGTCAGTTTTCCAAACTGGTGACAGATCCTGTCTGTAGGTCAACGTGACTCTTATCCTATGTGACTTTTATAATGAGTGCAAATAGTACATTCTTGGGAATCCCGAGGAGTTCCATAACTTACTGTAAAAGTAAGAAGTTTGTTACATGAGCCTGTGGTTTGTGCACACTTAGAGGAGCAAGAACATAAACACAGCTGAGACATGTGTACAACACGTGTAGATAGTTACTGCTGGTCACCTCAGTGCCTGCTAATTTGTGACCTCTCTGTGTCTGCTGCAGGGCTGCCCACCATACCTCACTGGATCAAAGCTCTCCACCCCTGAGTGGGGCCTCGCCGCCATACAAATACACTTTACCAGGATCACAGGATGCCAAGGATGATTTTCCACTCCGTAAAACAGGTGAGTTAGAGTAGTTCATTCAATCCCCTTACTGAGATTTCTTTCACCCTTTATTTTAACCAGGTTGTCCACCAACAAGGCATATATCATAATCTGCAAAGTCTGTTCAAGTTGTTACTAAGAGTAAGCTCAAAGATCCTGACTGTATCTTTATAAGGTTGGCTTGACCACATAGTATCAAGAGTCATTATTTCCCACTCCTAACAGCTTGTGCAAGCTTCAGTCCTGATGAACTTAGTTTCTAAACAAACTGTAATTTCATGGATCTTTTGTGGTATTGTCTTTATCTCAGTATTACTTCTGGGTTTAATAGCTCTCTCTCTCTCTTTTGCATGGTAGATATAGTATCTACTTCAGATGATATGCTGCCTGAAGGCACATTTTTTCAGGATGCTGTGAAGAGAATTCATGAAAAGAGAAAAAATTGGATTAATGTTGAATTTTGTGAATGTGGTTGAAAAAGGCTATATGCATATCTCTATGAATGTGCATACATGCATATGTTTGCGTATGCTTTTTACTCACGAGAATGTCAAGTTTACAATAAAATGTTCATTTGAACATTTCAGAATATTTCAGAGGGTTTAGAAAATAAACCTTTTTTTCTTGACAGCAGGTGAACTGTAGACTTGTCTTTTTCTGCACCATAAAGCTAGAAGGATGATGGTGGAGTCCATGTGGCTGTTACCTCAGGTCTTTGGTGCAGTGACCGGTATCCAGGAATGCAGGGAGACACTAGGAGAGGAAAAAAGAAAAAGAAAAGAAAACATTAGGTCTCTTATTGCATGAGGCTGCTGTTGAGTGATATAGTTACATTCAGAGGGAAAGTCTGACCCCCTACTGTGCTAACAGCCTTTGAATGTAATTTAGCCACTGGGAAATTGAAAACTAAGTGCAAAACTGGTACTGACTTGAAAAGAAGTGGCATTTGGAAGCACTATACATTCTGAAAGAAAATCCAGTCTGCATCTAATACTTTAGAGTAGATTCTCTAAGCACGTATTATGTCCCCAAATATTTTTGAAAGAATGAAAAGCAAAATGCTGATTTATTCTGTCTGAATTATTCAAAGTGATCATTGAAAAATATGGTGGCAGTATAACAAGATTCCATGAAATCTTGCTCAGGCTGTTCAGTTGCAATAAACCTGTACTTGGTTCTCTTCTTAATTCCACTGTACAACATAATTTCCCGTGCCATTAGGCTATACATTTTCATTTTTTAAACAAAAGAATACATTCTACATCTTCTAAATGCTATGAATTTATCTAAGTTTCTGAAAGCAAGTTTTAATTTTTCTTCCACGTTTATGTATCTTAAATGTTATGATTGATATTTATGATGTGTCAGACTGTTGATCTGTAAAACAAAACATTTTCAAACACTGTAATAGTAAAGTTCTCGTGCAGCTGCTAATACTTTTATATCTCTGTGGGGGTTTCAAAATATTCCTTAATTCAATTCCCATTGTCTGCATAAGAGGACTATAATATAATTAAATCCAGATGTTTTCTATATGTTATTCCAAATATTTGGGCATGCAATGCATCAGTTACAAAGCTGGACAAAGGACATGATGACTCTCTGAAAAGATATCTGCAGAACATATAGACAAATACTAATATAATCATTAACATGACTGCTTTTATGAAATTTACATAGTGATTCTGATAAGCATATAGAAATGAAGTGTAAAGCATGTTGTGTGTTAGCAAGGAAGCGTACTCAATAGCTCTCTGCATCCATGAAAATAGCAACTGTTAAATATCCTGTTTACATGTTCAGTCTCTGCCTGTCCTGGATTTGTAATTCCAGCCTTCAGCTACATCCCCACAAAGGTTCCAATGATTGCTCGTCAGGTTGAGAGTAAAAGCAACAGGAACCAGACTGACACAAGTCAAATGACCCTAAACTTATCTGAGTGGTAATAGGGCCATCCTCCAGGCAGAGGGGACATTGTGGAGCCGGTGTCATCCTCAAGGGACAAATCTAGACAAAGATGTCCCACGAACACTCGTATCTATGGGCAAGCTATAAGCCTGCAGAAATCTGACCTTTGCCATGAGGGGTGAACCTCTTTTCCTTTCCTTAGGGCTATGAACGCTTATTGCCACTGGCTCCTGGTAAACTTTCTGTGCTGCTGAACCTGCATGAAGTCAGCAATTCATGTGAAAGTGAATCTTACATTCCTTTCAGCCTCCAGAAGGGAATACCTTTTATAGGCTTTAATCACAGTTTTGGTTTGCTTCTCAATTTTATTTGCCGTAAGCATAATATGGAATACAGAGGTATCTTTCATTTCAGCTTTAATGTAATGCTCGTTAAAGACAATTCTGGTTCGATCTGTTACTCTAAGATCAGATTTAATGTGAAGCAAAAAGTGTGATTCCCTCATGATGTCCTGATATGTTCTTCCCTACCAGAGAACACTGAGCGTTACACAGGCATTGCAAGTCCTGAGACCTTCTTGCTTACTTTCTCAGTAATCTATATAGCCCAGTCCTGATGTATCATCTCCTTGTTAAACTTTTAAAAATGAATGTGGATGGAATATGGCTAAGGAGAAAATATTCTGTCCAATTTTTATTCTTCTGACATCTGGCTACATAGGTAACTAGGGTAGTGCTTAACAGCTGTGCTGTCTGTATGCTTACAGTGAGGTACCAGACTTAGTGTACCAGTGCACTGGCTCTAATTATTCAGTACCTCTCAGGCATGTGGATTATTCCTTCCCTTACAAGATGCAGCAGAACTTGCTAGCAGTAGGCTTTGTGCAGTTTAGCTGCATGGAGGATTGGGACTGTCCTAGGGGCTAGAGGCCAGGAGATGCAGCTCTTTGCACAGCTGCATTCAGATGCTGTGTGTTGACAGACTTTCAAAAAGAGCAGAGCAAGGGCAGTTATTCCTTCACTGGACAGCTAAATATACCATAAGGAGAAGCTATACATCTGTAGCTGAGAATAGAATTTGGCCGAAATAGACTAAGAGCAAATTTTAAAAATGCCCAAGATTTCACCATGGATACCTGTTGTAATGTGTGAGCTTTCTGAAAACACCCAAAAGTCTTGAGCAGCACATGGCTCATTAACTTCCAATGATACTAATGAGTCTAAATTGCCCAGAGAGGTTTGAAAATTCCTCCCCATTACTAAACACTTTTGAAATTCATACTGACTGCTGTAAGAGCTCTGATGGGAGCTGTGCACTTTTTAAAACATGATCATTTAATATGGAGAACTTTTGATTGCTGATCTCCATAATTCAGTGGTCTATTGATCTGGGAAAATATTATCTGTTTGAAGAGATTGCTGTAAAGCTGACAGAAGTGTAGCAAGTCACATGGGTTTGATAGGCAAAAGGTTCTCAAGGAAAGCTTTTCCTTTTTCTTTTTTTTTTTTTTTTTTCCACTTTGTTAAAATGAACACAGAAATTCTGGCAACTGCCCATAATGTTTGCACTGTCTTCACTCTGTAGCATTTCATTTTCTGTGAGGTGTTGCTGCAGAGCTCTCTAAATATCTCAAAGATATGTGCTTTTCAAAAATATTCCTAGTGGTGGAATTTCTACATTTTGCTTCATGCTTTGAGTTTTGAAGAGATTTCTGGGATTATCAGCATATCAAGTATAAAGTGTTTTTTCTTTCATGAATTTAGCGCAGTCATTGCAGAATGGGAATGTCAATCCCAAACCAATTTATTTTGGTTTTATGCCAGTTGAATCTTTCTTTGCTCATGGACTTTATAAGCTTACAGTTTGCATTTTTGCTTAGATATATGAGTATCACTCACAGTAGCACTATTTAAGAAGATGTTTGTGACTTGCTTACCAGAAACTGGAAATATGCTCAATGGAAATGTAACACAGTTTTTTTTTCTTAAGTAGCAGATAGTACAAAGTTTTAGTTTGCAAGGGGGAAATTGTGTAATTTCACACAGGAAAAAAAGAAGAGATGAAGGATAGTTTAATGTTGTGATGAAAGAAAGGAAGAAGGCTGTACTGCATAGTCATGAAAACAACTTTGTAAAAATGACATTATGTTAACCTGATTAGGCAGTAGAATAACAGCATAGCTCTTGTGTAATTAGAGTGAAAGATTCTTGAATAAGAACTCAGTAGATGCAATTTTTTTAAAAAAAATTAATGTGAACATTAATTTGAACATCATTCTTTCTGCACTTAGTGACTCAGTAATTTGCTGGAGTGGTTGAAACTGAGAAGAAAAACGTTTTGTGTGTGAAAGTTTTTTTCCCTTTCCCTTTCATGTCACCAAATTCCATTTCTGTTTGCATTTTCTAGGAAAACATTCTCCTGTGAAGTAATAGTATATGAAAAAGTTGGATTTCTTTTGGTCTTCAGTGAAAAAAAGAAAGGCTTAGAGAATCACAAACCCTCAATTATTGTGTCTGCCAAAATGAAGAAGTCAGTCTCAGTAGAAAGTCATTATTTTTCTCTCTGTTTATGAGCAAGCACAGCGAATGGGAGAGGCACTTTGCTTATTGAGGCAGGGAAAGAAGGCAAATTTTATTTCTTTTTTTTTTTCTTTCTGATTTTATCCAGTTTTTCAGAGATGCTAAACATTCCTGCCTCCTAAACAGTCTTGGTAAATTCAGACTAGGTGATTTGACTGAAGAAAGTCACCAGCACTTACTGCAGAACAGGAAAATAGAAAGACATATCCTCCTTTCCAGCCCTTCTTTTATGATTTCTGTTCCCATATAGTCATCAGACTTCTGTAGCCTTCCAAAGTTCATTATCAGTACATAGAGAGGGCATAAGAGTGTGTCTGAAGAAACTGTTGCTAACAGCTTTTTCCAGATACAGTATCTGGAAACCACCAGCTCTTGGGAAGTGTAACACCACTGTAACCACCATGCCATGCTGTAGCTATCCCAAGTCTGACTGCATTCTGTAACTTGCTACGGGGTGCACAGGAAGCAGTGCCATGTCACTCTAATTCCAGCTACGTGGAAAGTATTCTGAGGCACATTAAGACCAACTAA